TCTGCGACTTACCTGCCCAACTCCTATCTCTCTCTCTCCCAATCTTAGTGCCCGTTTTCAATTTCATCTCTCTTTTCAGTTGAAATTCTTAAATCCTCTTGCAATAAGTTCATTCCTCTCAACAACATAGCTTCACTGAAGCTTTGATTCTGAAGATAACTTTGATGAAAAAGGAGGTTGATGATGGTGGGGAAGAAGAAGAGGGAAGAGGCTGTCAGTGGTTGAGAAGATGAAGATGTTGCTGGTGGTTGAGAAGGAACAAATGTTGACAATAGTTGCAGAGATGACCGAGAAGATCCACAACAAAAATGAGGGGAAAGGTGGACAATGGTGGCAGAAATGAGGGAAGAGGACAGTGTTATGGAGGGAGGAGGTCAATTATGGTATGATAGGAGAGGGAAGAGGCCGCTGGTGGTGGAGAAGATAGGAGGTCATAGGTAGTGAAGAAGGGAGAGACACTGACGGTGGCTGCAAAGATGACAGACGATAAAAACAAGGGGGGGGGGAGGTGAATGGTGGTGGATATAGGGAAGAAGTATTGATTTTGTTTCTTGAATTTTCTGGTGTTTTGTTCTAGTGAGGGATGATGAAGAAGCATTGGTTGGCAAAAAAATCAAAGAAGGACTGATGAAGAAGAAAGAGCTCTGCGTTAATGGAGACAGATGGAGCAGTGTGGCGAAAGAGGGAGAAAAGAAGCATTTGAGCAACGTACACCAACTGGAAATGAGTGGGACCCACATTAGGGGGGGAGAGACGGACGTTTGGCGCTGTTAACAACAATGGCTAGATTGCTCTCTTTTTTAAGTCACATGTATTTTTGCACCTTTCAAAACTAAACAGTAACAGATGTTCTTGACGTAAAATTTTGTTGTTAAAATTACTGTCTATTTAGCTAGCACACATGTTCGGATATTTAAAATTAAAATTAATACAGTACCGACTTTTTTTACTCAATATAAGACTTAAGATTTAATTGATTAATTTAAGAAAATTATATATTACTGTTACATGATTTTTTTAAAATAATTATAGATATCATTAGATCATATATCGAGTAAATTGGTTTAGAGGAAAACAATAAACATAACACTTTAAAGTATTTTGTTTAACTTTCTTAATTTTTTTAAATGAGTTAATTAGTTCTTATATTAAAGACCTTAATCTCATTAAATTAGTTAATTAAGTCTTATATTAAAATTATTTAGTTTTTTTTGGGGCACAAACTAATATTTCATTCGACTATGATATTTACAACAACCAGAATAGTACTCCCGGGGTTTTTAAATATAGGAGTCTGTTGAAATGTTAATTTAATCTTAAATAATACTACTTCCGGTTTGTATATTCTACAAACGAGGTCTTATAATTAAGATCTGAGGTAGTACATATATAAGATAAATTCATTGTATCCCCATGTTTTTTCCCAAATTAATTTTAACTTATAAATTGACATATTTTATGAGATTATGTTGCAATTTTTATAATTAATTAATTAACTTAACTTATCTAATCCATTTAAATTAGTTAAATAGTTTTTATATACTACTTCTACTTTTTAATATAAAATTTAATTGATTAATTTGAATAGATTAATTATTTTAGTCAGTTATTTATAATAAATATATATTATTTTTTTAAAAATATTTTTACTAATCAAATATATTATAAAAAAATAAAATAAAATACAGTCGAATAAAGAGAAACGGTGGAAAGGACGGCGAGTATGTTGGTGGGAAGGTGCCCTGGCTGTGGCTGGTATAATTACTGCCTCTTCGTTCAGAGAGAACCCCAAACCGAGGTCCCAAGCGCTTCGCGTAGTGCTTTCTGTTGTTTTCTCGTACTTTCTCAGCAACCAAACGCTGAATAGATAAAGCGGGGGGAAATGGTGGATCAGATCCACACTCCGCCGCCCAGATCCGCCGCGGACCTCTTCTCGGATCCTCTCGATTCTCACCCATTGTGGTTCAAGCCTGCGTCGTTCTGTCCCCGGATTTCGATTCTGAATCGTACATTTCGGAGCTCCGTACTTTCGTCCCTTTCGACACTCTTCGTTCTGAGCTCCAGAATTATTGTCCTCCTCAATCACGAACTCGTCGATCTGATTAATCGTGACTATGCCGATTTCGTAAATTGAGCTCTCGTCATGTCGCAGTGTGCGAAGCCCCTGGTAGAGCAATTGAGCAATTGATCAACTCTTGTGCTGATAGCGTACTTGTCATCTCGTGCAGTAGTGTACGTGTCGATTGAATGTGCCGTCAGTGCGCGGGCGTTGATTTGTATTAATGGTGGTTTAGGAGTATTCAGTGGATATGGAGTTATTTTGGTCATGTGGAAGGCTGTTTGTGAATGAAGGATCGGATCATGAGAGCAGCATCAGCGAGGGAGACTTTGGAACTTCTTCTGGATACATTTCACGTGGTATCTAAGGTAAGTATTTTTGTCAGTGAATGAATGAGTTTTGGGCTATTTGCTGGAACTTCGTCTATAATCAGACATAACAGCGTTGTGAATCTTTAATATACAGCTTAAATGTATGGGTCGGGAATTTTGCGGCAAATTTCCACTGAGCGTCGCACAACTTTTTCTCGTTTTAAGCTGTTAATGGACCTTATGAGTTGTCTCACGCCGGTCTTACTCGAGTCACAACAACCTGAAGACATGATGTTTTCTACTCGACTTAGTTAAGTTAAATGGAATTCGAAAGACTATAAGCTAGCAAAAAGTTTCACGATACGGATATTATTTTGTGTGCCCAGAGATGCAATTCCTTCAATTCTGTAGAGAATGTTATAACCCTGATAAATCAGAGCATTTTGTTCTCAATTCTTTACTTGCATGGTTGTGGTATGAAGAGAAGATTCCTAGTTCTAATTTGGAACATTAAGTATTGAGATTGAAATAATTAATTTAAATAACATCGGTCCCGTCTCTTTAAAGCGGAAGGAGTTGCCTCAAAGAAGCTACTCAAGACCCTTTCAAGCACTAGAATCTATTCATTTTAGGATCCAGTCAAACATGTCTAGTGCACTAATATTGTTTTCATAGTATTATTATATATTTTTCTTTTTCGCTTGATTCCAGGTTGAAAAACTAATAAAGGAGCTACCTAGTGTGCCCACTGATTGGTCAAATGGAGACGTAAATTTGGCGGAGAGAAACTCCATGAGTAATGGAATTTCTGTGCAACATGTTGAGAACGGCACCAGTGTCAGAGAAACTCAAAGCATGCTGCTAGAGAGAATCGCAAGTGAGATGAACCGGCTGAAGTTCTATGTCACACATGCGAAGGTTTGTTTTAATTTCCTTCACTTTGTTGAAGGTTTAAAAATGAAAGAAGAAATTACTGAAATAACTGAGTGGAAAACTACAGATTGGAATGTAATGGAAGCTGAATATTTGTAAAGGAATTAAAAATTGGTTTGAAGACCACACAACTCTATCCATATATAATTATGTTCTCTAAGCTTATCTTAAGTATAGATAATGTCATGGAACTATACGTTTGGGGTTTCTTTTTCCCCCTCCCTAATTACTTACCTGGATGCGGTTCGTCTTTCTTGTCATTTCATCATTATGATGTGGTGTGTAAACTGCAGACCCTCATCGTTATGTACGTTTAACTTTGTTATGTTAAATGGTGGAAAAGCTTTTCAAAATTTGGTTGAGGTATGCCAAGAGTAAATGAGCCAAAATTTAGAGAGCCAGGTAGCTTATTGCCTGATATATGAAGTTAAAAACATGTTACATGTATGTGTGTATGTCTTGATCTTTATATCATGAGTTTTTAGTTTTTGAAATTGGCGACTCATTGTAGCTGTGAAAATCTAAGATCTGGACTATTTAATTGAGGGGAAAAACGGTAAAAGGATTTCTTGGTCTTGACTCTTAGACCTTTGTACATTCTGTGCTCATCTCTTTTTCTCAATTATGCCAGTACAGAACCTGCCTTTTATTGAAAATATTGGAGAAGAGGATTCAAAATGCTAGCCTGATATTGGATGCAAGCTTGGGCCATTGCTTTGTAGATGGTCTAGAGCATCGAGACGCAACTGCAATATACAATTGCTTACGAGCATATGCTGCCATTGATAACACCAAAAATGCAGAAGAAATTTTTCGAACCACTATTGGGCCCCATTGATACAGAAGATTATTCCACATGGACCTTCAGCCATGGCTGCTGAGTCATCTGCAGATGGACTTGACAGCGATTATGAGCAGATTAAGGAATGCATTGATAACAACTGTAAATTTTTATTGGAGATTTCTTCAGCTGGTACATATCTGTGTTCACTATCAATATGAACAATTAATTTACTGCATTAGCTATATATCCTTACTGCTGTATTCCTTTGTCTTTCTTGGTATTTAAAAAATTGAACTATTGAGTCGGCTGGACCATGAGTTATCTGTCTGTCTGGATTATAGAGTTGTTGAAATATGGTCGCGCACTTGTGCCATTGTTTGGAAATACATCAAGCATATTCACCTATCAAGAACACAATGCCAGTGTCTAATATAATAGCAGTATACCTAGATTGGATTAAATCCGTCTGAGGTTTTTTCTTTGGTGCAGAAAATCTGGGTTGCATGTTTTTGACTTCTTGGCCAATTCAATTCTCAAAGAGGTTCTCTCTGCAATCCAGAAGGGAAAGCCTGGTGTTTCTCCGGGAAGACCGACAGAGTTCTTGAAAAATTACAAATCAAGCCTAGATTTCTTGGCTCATCTTGAAGGTAGTTGTCAAAAGACTCAAATCTGCCTTCTTCATAACTCACTTCTTCCCCTTAAGATAAAAAAAATCGAGGCCTTCAATTTGAAAGAACTTTGTTGTGTGAATGTGTTTGTGCATCTATTGATTTCATTTTTACATGTATTAAGAGATTTTATTTACTAAATTTTGTAACTTTGGATTTCATGCAAGGCTACTGCCCGTCCAGATCTGCTGTTGCTAAATTTCGTTCTGAAGCCATTTATTCTGAGTTCATGAAGCAATGGAATATCGGTGTATTTCTCTCTGAGGTATTTTATCTGTTATAAGATGGTCATGGGTTTAAAGAACTGTTTTTTAGTGGCTGGTGACATGGAAATGATATCTGCATTTGCTTCAGGTTTCAGGAAATAGCAGGAGCTCTAGATTCTGTGCTTACAACATCCAGCCTCCTCCCTGTTCAAAATTCAGACCCTGGTGAAGCAAACTATCAAAATTTAACACTAAAACAAAGTGTCACTCTATTGGAGAGTTTGAGGTCGTGCTGGAGGGAAGACGTTTTTTGCTTTCTTGTTCTGACAAGTTCCTTCGCTTATCATTGCAACTTCTTGCTAGGTCAGTTAAACTGGAATGTTGCAAATTTCTGTTTACTCTTTACGGTATGATAACCAGATTTTCCTGAAATTTACAGATACACTAATTGGTTGTCAAGTGGGCTGATTGCTCGTAAGACTGGGAACATAAGCACCAGCCCAGGGTCTGAATGGGCTATTTCAGCTGTTGCAGATGACTTTATTTTTGTATGCATCACACCTTGACTGTAGCGTACTTATTTACTTTCTGCTGGACATT